TGTGACTCCCTCACTTTTCAGTGTGCTTGGGATATGTACACAGGGCACTATGTCAGTGTTTCTTATGATGTAACTTACAGAGTCCATGGGACAAAACAAGAATGTTCAGTGTTGTCAGTTTGCATATCCTAACAGGCCAATAGTGGTTTGCTCTGCGTATTTACCACTAAGAATTACTGCAAATGTCATAGTATTCACAGAAGAGCTCCACCCCAGAGAAATTACGGAGTTAAAACATTAGATAAGTCATGTTTAAACTTGGTTGTATGTATGAGTTTTGGGGGAAGCAAGCTAAAATGCTCACTCCTTCTTCCCATCCAGAGAGACTGAATTAACAGATCTGCAGCAGGGTCGAGGAATCTGTGTTCATAACAGCACTTTCAGTGACACAGTGATCCCAGACCACATCTGGAGAAGAACCAAGTGCCAAATTACAAGATAATGCTTTTCTCCTTGCTTCATACCCAGGCATATTTTCCTCCTCATGTAAACTAAAATATCTCACAGACAGTAAATTTAAGTTATTGCTGTCAGCAGAAAGAAGCATGGACACAGCCCAACCCAGAAGAGTTGTTTATCTCCCACAAATTCACAAATTCATGCCTTTTCCCAGATTCACATCACCGTCTTCTCATCTCCTTGTGACCAGTTTTGCTTTAGGTAAATCTGAGAGAAATCTGGGTTACTCATTTTCTTTCTCTCCTGTTTGGGGAGAGTTTTAAATTTTTACTCTGTTATCTAATGCTTCTTTTTTAAATTAAGTAGAGATAAAGTGCTTTTCAAAAAGAAACTTGGTTTGTACAAAGTTTAAATATGTAGGATTTATATAAAAGATATGGAGGAGGAAATAGTTATCTACTTTACAAAGAAATCTTTGTATTGTGAAAGGACTAGGCTCTGTGAGGACACCCTTAAAAAGCCAATCTGTCCTTAGGACTTTCATTGACAGATACTGGGCCTAGGTTCCACACCTTTTTATGAGCCACACCTTCAAAATAACTATGAATTCCATAAACTTTCTGCAGCTGGGCTGCAGTGGAAGGGTGGAAAGCAGCCGATATATATACTGAGCTTGGTTTAATATTAAAAGTTTTCCACAAAATCTCTGTGCCCCATATAGAATATCCCTGCCTGTTTCCTTAATAATAAATGGTTTTTGGAGACAGCCCTGCTGAGGATAGTATAAAAAAACTTAGAAGATTCAAGTCCTACAGAAACAAAGAAATTTTTTCTAGACAGGAAAAGTGACATGTGTGGTGTAGGTTAATAAACTCAAGCCAAAGACCCCAGCAGAGAATACTATCCCCAACCCCCTAGACAGGGGCGGGAGGGAAACCTTGCTTCCCCTTTTCCAGTTTGCTGTGTCCATCTCTGTCTGGATGGAGTAAGTGCTCAATTCTCAGAAAAGGACATATTGGAACTGACAGCCTCACTATTGTGTATGTAATATGTCATGGCTGACGGATGAAGAATTGGGATTGCATGAAATGCAACGGGACATAGCCATCAGCCAGAGCTGGAGGAGGCCTTGTTTCCGAACCCTCAGAAAGCTCTCCTTCTGGGTCCCCTTTGCCCCTGGTCCCCTTTGCCCCTTTTGGGCAGCCCCCGAGAGTGAAGGGTTTAAAGCACCATTTCCCCCCATTACTCCTGATCCTTTGTTGTGCTCCCCTTTTGTCCACCCTGCCCTTTGATTGCTGAGTTCTCCCAGCAGGGCAAATTGCAGCTGAAAAGGTCTGAACAATGGGATTAGGCAGTGGTCCAGGGAAGCACTAGGGACCTGCAAGCTTAACTGCATTACTCTCAGCAGGTCTGCCCTGGGTGTAAGTGAGCAGGCCCCACCTTTCGCTGCCTGGGTGAGATCAACCCTCCTAACAGACAGTCACATGACCTGCCCCCAAAGCAGAGCTAATTGGAAGGTGAAATGATTCACAGGAGATGGAGGAGAACTAACAGGAAAAATTGCACAGAAGGGGAGTCACCTTACAAGTGCCTTTGGCCTTTGAGTGTTTGGAAAGGGTTTTTTCGTTCAACACCTAATGTATTTTGGCACTCCTGTTTCATTATGAACCATTATCAAATGAAAGATTAGTGATGCGTTGTCTTTTGCACACAGTCATATATTTTGCCATCATAATAAGCAACACCTGTACACTTTTATTCATTAATTCAACATATATTCATGAAAAACTCTGTGGGTGCCCAGCTTTGTAATACACCCTGAGGAGAAGATAAATAATAAGACATACTCTGACTTCAGAGTTCTTACAGTTTGGAAGAAGGTGACAGACAACTACACAAATAAATGCCACTAACATTATAAGGTCTGTGATAAATGTCTTTATGGATGTCAGTAGTACATACAGAAATGGAGTATAAGAAATATGATTGGAGGTGGTGACTGTGTTTGCAGACAATAAGTTACAATATACAATTCATTCTTCTTACTATTGACAAAATGCAATACCCGTAGTAAAATGTATAGTACTTTATCAAATAAATGTTTGTTGAGGACCTGCTGTGTGCCAAGGCTCTGTGCTTTGTACCTCAGTGTCAGTGTATGCAAGCCAAAAAGGAAAGTAGGGATTTAATTCAGTTAACACATGAATCAAATGTGAATTATAACCATGGTAAATGAAATACATGCTTTCATAAAAACTTACGAGGGTGTTTCTGAAAGGTACAGTGTCTTCCCTAAGATTGAGCTGAGACTATAGCGTGAAGAGGAGGAAGGTATTCACTAGCGACTCACTAGGTTCCAAGATTCAGAAGATGAGCAACAGAGAAAAAATAGTAAGAGTCAAGGAACAAGATTTCAGTCCTCACCTCACTGCGACAGCCCTCGGTGGGCTTTAGTGGCCAAAGCTAGAGAAGTTTGGAGGAGAGAGTGCCAGTACAACTCTGTTTTCCCATGTCCAAAACAATAACGTGCACCTTTAGGTTCACTGCAATGTTCAATTATCACTCCTGCTAACTCTCAGACAAACCAAGTGTGAGTAAAATGTCATCATCCTAAGAAGCAGAAAACATTGCCTTGAAGCCCTCTTCTAGACCTATGATACTATGAATATATACATAGTGTCAGTTAAATCCACAGCATAAATGGCAAATTAGCAAAGCCCAGAATCATAAAAGATAAGTAAGTGACATTTAATATTTTATGCAGTGAATAAGATTTCTATATTTTTGCAGAAATTGGAATAGCAGTTCATGTTCACTGCAGTAATACCTAGTAGACATGCTCAAGTGGCAGGATTAATTAGATGTTCGTGATGGTGATGGTTCTACTATAAATTGCAAAATGATGAAAAAACATTAAGCAATTTTTTGTTAACTTTCTTCTGGATATTTATAGGCTTAGCTTGGGAAGACTATCTCATACTTTAAAAAATATAGTGCAGTGATATAAGTATAAACAGGATTTCACAAAATCAGTGAGGCAAAAAATACCCTGGGGATTCTAGGAACAAGTGTGAGGGAAAACCTAGTTGTATTACGACATTGAATTTTACCCGTAATGCTTTCTGCCATCTGTGTTTTGACTCTTAACAGGAACTATAAGAAATGTTTTTTTAACAAAACATAAGTTCTATAACATCAATTCAAAAGACAGACAGAATGATAGATGATAAGTAGATGGATAGATGGATTGATAGATACAGAGGCAGGCGGATACATAAACAGATGAGACCAACAGATATGCGGGCTAAATGTTCCTAAATTTCCGCTGTCAATCATCATACTTCACTTCTCAGTGGGGATATTATCCAAAACTTCCTTCAGTTTACTAACATTTCCTCTTTTGTAATAAATCCTAGGTTAATGCATTCAGTGGGTTTACTCCTGCATGTATCAACTGGCTTTAAGGAGTACTTCTCTGTATTAGTAACACGACTTAAAAAAATCTATCTGGAACAGTGAGAGCCTATCTATGTTAACAAATAGTTCTGTTCACATTATAATTTTACACACACTGATTACGTTGTGCCTGAAGCACTAGCACTGCCCTTCCTAAGTGAGGAGTTTATCCTAAGGAAGGTGCTGGAAACAGCAAGGAAGATGCAGCTGTCATTATTTCGAGGAGTGATCTTGAATAACAGGGACCCTTTTCTTGGTACATTTTTCCAGGAAGCTCAGACTTCCTTTTGAGAACTTCCAAGAATTTTCTCAAAGAACAATAAATGCCTGATATAAGCTTATAGATCCATCCACATCTTAATCCCCTAGAGAACACAAAGATTTGAAGGCTCAGGACAATGCTTTCATGTTTCTTCTTGTCTCCCATTTCTTCTCCATGTCCTTTACCCTTAATTCCTTGATTTGTGCTATTTTTACTTGCTGTGGTGACGCCTCCTGAGCACCTTGCTATTTGGCTGTGGAGATGTTGAACTCTAGGACAGGGTGGAAGCTGAAATGAACTGGAATTGGAATAAACAACATAAATAAGAAGCAGCCTGGGTTAGACAAAAAAATGAAAGAAAAAGAAGGAGGAAGGAAGGAAGGAGAGAGGAAGAAAAAGGAAAGGAAAGGAAAGCAAAGGGAAGGGAAGTTCAGAGGCTCTTTCTGGCTCCACCACCTACCTGAGAAGCACTCTCCATTAGTCAACCTTCAGCTTCTTCCTAGTGAAATATAGTCATTGAGCTCAGAAACCTTTAGCCACCCCACTTCTCTCTACTGCAACTTTCAGGTTGCATTAAACTAAGATAGGACAAACTTCTTGTAATTTAAAGGGGAAAGAGAGCAATTAAATAAACTATCCTTATTAATATTCAAAACCAGTGCAATATATATCTTTACTACTACAACTGGGAGAACCTCTGAGAAGCATTTTGGGATTAAAGGTAGCCGTTAAAATAGTCATTGTTTTCCAACTTTCAAATAATTAAGCCTTTTGAACATTAAATGTTAAGTAGCTCCAGCATGCTCATCATTGTTTCTCTTTCTCTTTCTCTCTCTCTCTCTTTCTCTCTCTCTCTCTCTGTCTCCACTTTACCCACCCTTAGGCTTATGAGAGGCCCCAGAAACACCCACCTCTCCATTATGACCCAGGCCTCCCACAGGACTTCACCAGTGACACCTTAAAACCAAAGCACCAGCAAAAAAGCAGCAGCCAGAACCACATGGACTGGTCCACCAACTCTGACAGTGGACCCTCCACTCAGAATTGCTTCATCAGTCCGGAGTCTGGCCGAGAAACTGCAAGCACCAGCAAGATCCCAGCTCTTGAGCCCGTGGCTTCCTTTGCAAAGGCCCAGGGTAAGAAAGGCAGCGCAGGGAACACATGGAATCAGTTGTCTAACAGCAGTAAAGATCTGCTCCTGGGAGCTGTGGTTCCATCCCCAAGCAACCGCAGCTCGCCAGCCCCTCCTAGCAGTGCTGCTGAATGCAATGGGCTCCAGCCCTTGGGAGATCAAGAAGGAGGAGGTACAAAGGAACCCCCAGAACCACCTCCTACAGGCAGCAAGAAAAAGTCAAGTAAAAAAGATATGATAAGTCAAACCCTAACAAACCCAGAGCTGGACTGGGTCAAGAGTGCCCAAAAAGCATTTGATAACCCAGAAGGGAAAAGAGAAGGTTACTCTGCAGATAATATCCAAGAGGCATCACCAGCCAAGCAGAATGTGAGTTCTGTGGGTAATCTTGAAAGTGACTCTAGTCGTGTCAGGATTACTATCCCCATCAAAGCACCCTCTCTAGACCCAGCCAGCCATAAGAGGAAAAAGAGACAGTCCATTAAAGCAGTGGTGGAAAAGATCATCCCAGAGAAAGCACTGTCTTCCGGAATTTCCATGAGCAGTGCAGTCGTTAACAGGTTACTTTCCAATGCAGAGGGGAATCAGAAAGACTCCCGTGTCCCTAAGTTGGGTAAAATGATAGAGAATGAGTCCCCTTCAGTTAGCCTTGAAACCGGTGGAAATGCAGAGAAAATGATCCCAGGAGGAATGTCTAAGCAGCGGAAAACACCCATGATCGTGACGCCCCCCACATGCACAGATCACTCCTCATCAAGAAAGCTACCTGAAATCCAGCATCCAAAATTTGCTGCAAAACGGAGGTGGACATGCAGCAAACCAAAACCTACAAGTATGCTTCGGGAGGCAGTCATGGCCACCTCTGATAAACTGATGGTGGAACCCCCGTCTGCTTACCCCATCACCCCATCCAGCCCTCTGTATACCAACACCGACAGTCTTACTGTGATCACTCCAGTCAAGAAGAAACGGGGACGACCAAAGAAGCAACCTTTGCTCACAGTGGAGACAATCCATGAGGGTACTTCCACCAGCCCCGTCAGTCCCATCAGCCGAGAGTTTCCTGGCACCAAGAAAAGAAAGAGGCGACGCAACTTAGCTAAGTTGGCCCAGCTGGTGCCAGGAGAAGACAAACCCATGAGCGAGATGAAATTTCACAAAAAGGTTGGAAAGCTTGGTGTGTTGGATAAGAAGACCATCAAAACGATCAATAAGATGAAGACACTCAAGAGGAAAAATATCTTGAACCAGATCTTATCCTGTTCCAGCAACATTGCCCTGAAAGCCAAAGCTCCCCCAGAGACTAGCCCTGGGGCAGCCTCAATTGAAAGCAAACTGGGCAAACAGATTAATGTCAGCAAAAGAGGAACCATCTACATTGGCAAGAAGAGGGGCAGGAAGCCGAGGACAGAGCTGCCACCCCCATCTGAAGACCCCAAAACAGCCATCAAGCACCCCAGGCCTGTCTCTAGCCAGCCGGATGTTCCAGCCGTGCCTTCCAACTTCCAGTCACTTGTGGCATCCTCACCAGCAGCTATGCATCCACTTTCCACACAGTTGGGTGGGTCCAATGGCAACCTGAGCCCTGCCAGCACTGAAACCAGTTTTTCAGAGTTGAAAACTATGCCAAACCTCCAGCCCATCAGTGCTCTTCCAACCAAAACCCAGAAGGGAATTCACAGCGGAACCTGGAAGCTGTCTCCACCCAGGCTAATGGCCAACTCCCCTTCACACCTGTGCGAGATAGGCTCACTAAAGGAGATCACACTGTCCCCCGTGAGTGAATCCCACAGTGAGGAGACCATCCCAAGCGACAGTGGCATCGGGACAGACAACAACAGCACGTCTGACCAAGCAGAGAAGAGTTCAGAATCCCGACGGAGGTACTCTTTTGATTTCTGCTCCCTGGACAACCCTGAGGCCATTCCATCTGACACCAGCACAAAGAACCGGCATGGCCACCGGCAGAAGCATCTCATTGTGGACACCTTCCTGGCCCATGAAAGCCTCAAGAAGCCAAAGCACAAGAGGAAAAGGAAAAGCCTGCAAAACCGTGATGATCTCCAGTTTCTGGCTGAGCTGGAAGAGCTCATCACTAAATTCCAAGTATTCAGGATCTCCCACCGGAGTTACACCTTTTACCATGAGAATCCATATCCCAGCATTTTCCGGATTAATTTTGATCACTATTACCCGGTGCCATATATCCAGTATGACCCGTTGCTCTATCTTCGTAGGACTTCAGACTTAAAGTCAAAGAAGAAGCGTGGTAGGCCTGCAAAAACCAATGACACCATGACAAAGGTGCCTTTTTTACAAGGGTTCAGCTACCCTATTCCCAGTGGAAGTTACTATGCAGCCTATGGAATGCCTTACACATCAATGCCTATGATGAACCTGGGTTACTACGGTCAGTACCCCGCTCCTCTGTATCTATCGCACACTCTTGGAGCAGCTTCCCCGTTCATGAGGCCAACGGTGCCACCACCTCAGTTCCATACAAGCTCCCACGTGAAGATGTCTGGGGCAGCTAAGCATAAAGCAAAGCATGGAGTACACCTGCAGGGGCCGGTTGGCATGGGCCTCAGTGACATACAGCCATCACTAAACCCTCCCAAGGTGGGCAGTGCTGCTCTGTCCAGTGGTCGGCTCCACAAGAGGAAACACAAACACAAGCACAAGCACAAGGAAGACCGGATCCTGGGGACCCATGACAACCTGAGTGGTCTCTTTGCAGGCAAAGCCACAAGCTTCTCCAGCCACCTCCTGACTGAGAGGTTGAGCAGTGCAGACAAAGAGCTCCCACTGGTGAGTGAGAAGACCAAGCATAAGGAGAAACAGAAGCACCAGCACAGCGAAGCTGGCCACAAGGCCTCTAAGAACAACTTTGAGGTGGACACCCTCTCTACACTGTCACTTTCAGATGCCCAGCATTGGACGCAGGCCAAGGATAAAGATGACTTGAGTGGTGAGTCCGTGGACTCCTGCACTAAAAGGTACTCGGGCAGTGGTGGAGATGGTGGCAGCACAAGAGCAGAGAGCTTGGATGTGTTCAGTGAACTGAACCCTTCCAGTGACAAGTGGGACAGTGATGTGAGTGGGAGTAAAAGGAGAAGCTTCGAAGGCTTCGGGACGTACAGGGAAAAGGACATTCAAGCCTTCAAGATGAACCGCAAGGAGAGAAGTTCATATGACTCTTCCATGTCTCCAGGTAAGGCCAAGTTTTCCTTCAGAGGCGTTGAATTTCACATGCTAGCCATCTTTGGCACATTTGATTACTAGTTGGCAAAGAGGTAGCAACTAAATCGTAACTGATCTCCTTTAATATTTGAGTCTGCTATGCATTTCATACGTGGTTTACTTTGTACTTACTGTCTTTCCTCCCACCTGGAGCCTCTGCCCAGGAAACTAGGGATGCAGAGGCAGCTCCCCAAAATTGCCTATGGTATAACCATGCCTAATTCTTTATTAAAAATGCTGTCCTTGGGTCTTAAGTCCCGATTATATGGTACAGTTTGCTAGTTGGATATAAGCCTGTAAAATTTATTAGGAACAAAAAAAAATATTAGAAACACCAAAAAAACTGAAAGAATGACAAAGCTGGGTGGGAGCGAATATCTGGTTTATGTGACATGCTATCACTGGAAGTCACACATCCCAGAAGGGACATCTGAAGAATCATCTGAAGCTGATAAGCTGACCGTTAAATCCTGAAGTCTGAGTGAAGCCTGGGTCATGTTTCCTTTTTTTTTTTTTTTTTTTTTTTTTTTTTTTTTTTTTTTTAAATTTAAAA